CGGGAAAGGCCATGGCACTTATCAATGTTAAGGATAGAGATCCATCCTCTCTAACTCAAATCCTAACTTAACAAGTCACCATTTTCCACAATGCTTGAATTACAATGGTTGTTTTAAAGCTGAAGATATTTTTCTATGACTTTGAAGTTGAATTGGGGAGAAATGATGGCATAGGTTGAATCTTTCTTTGGTCCTCAATTATTGTTATTATTTAGGTCTGAATGTCTGCTTGCTTTCAACTCCAGTCTTGAAGTAATTAACTTTTCAATGTTGAACTATCAAAGAAAGAGAAGGAAAGAGCTCAAATGAAATAAAAAGCCAGATTAAAATAAGTGTCTCCCTTCTTTCTAACCAGCTTTAAATCCCTGCACATAATATATATTCCCATTTGAGTAATTATAGAGGCCAAGGTGGAGGTGAAGAGAAAGAACCTGAATGCATGTGGGAAAATAAAGATTTTACTTATTCCAGAAGGCTAGTTAGAAAGAAAGAGAAAAAAATAGCTCCAGTGACCTAGTGGAGTTCAATGGGGGTTAATTACATGGCAGAGATAATTTTGTTGACTCTGACCTGTGAATTATGAAAAAGCCAACAAGTTCCTTCCAAATGCAGTCAATGTATGAAACCTTGTCTATTTCATCAGTATCTTTTCCGATTTGATGTCTCCAGATTGGACTATGACTCTCATCATCCTCAGACAGTACACTGAGTAGAGATGGTGGGAGTTCCAGTCTAGCACATCTGGAAATTGCCAAATTAGGGAAATCTGTCCTCTTTGGTGCATTCCCCCTTTTATAATCCCTGTGTTTGTACAATACACATTATTTTTGTTTAATTAAGCTACATTTCTAAGTCTGCAAGACACATTAACATGACCAAAAAGTAAATTAATCTTGTAGCTGGATTTAGATTGGATAGTTTATACTTTAGTATGTTACATGAACACAGTTGGTATTTAGTTCTGGAGAAAGCAAGATGATAAGGCAATCGGTAGACGTAAGTGATCATATGAGATTCCGGAAGTGTGTAACTGGGATGCCTCAGTGAGTCAATCTTCCCATCTTTCACCATCATTCCCACCTTTAAGAGTGAGGCAAAGAAGCTCTGTTTGCACCCTGAGATATTTTCAGATTTTGTCAGACAGTTTTTTAATGATCAGACTTATCCTTCCCAGCTCAGTTGAATCTTTCTCAACGCAATTTGAAATGTAACACGCATTTATTAGAGAGGGCAGGAAGAATCCTATTTGCAAACTATTTGGACATCAAGCCCTGTGAGCAATGAGGTGTGATGTGCTTATAGGTCTAAAGAATAAAAAATCAACTGCCAGTCAATACTTCTTTTTTTTGGCTTGTAGTTGGCACAAACAATAGTCAACTGTTTGTTTTTTTTTCTTGTTATCCTTCTAAGCAGGCCAATAGTTGGGCCTTACTGAGGAAGCTTGCAGAGGAAGATGTAGTAATATATTCTTAAATAAATGAGAATATAACTAAATAGAAAGAATATAACATGTCCAGAAAGTTCCCTGAGTGGTTCAATCAATATCATTCTGTTTCTTTCATTAGAATGGTGTTACCATTATTTTTCATACAGCTCTAGCATTATCACCTGGCTCTTAGGCAAAGTTCATTGCCTGAGACTGCAAGTTGTCATTTTAATTTCCCACTGTGCCTCTTCTGCTCCAGGCATTATAAAAAAACTTAAATAGCTGCTCTCAACTCTTGGTATCAGGTAAGTAGGTCTCTCCATCCCTCCCTCCCTCTCTTCCCTTCCTCCACTGCACATGTGGGCTGTCACCATTGTTTATAGCAGCTACAAGAAGTTGCCTTTGCAGAAGAGGAGAAGGAAGGAGAACAATAACATTGACAAAAGATGTGCTGTTGCTTCCAGAAAACAAAGGTATTGTCAAGGCGGAGCAGCTCCTGCACTTTGGGGCAGCAAGTATTTCCAGAGTTTTCTTCCTGGCCAGGCCTCTCAGCCCACGTTTACCAAGCACACGGTTTGAGGTACATGCCCAGGTAAAAGAACCGCTTGTGCAACACTGAGACTTCTGCTGAGCCTGGAACAACCACTGCAGGCTGGGGTGGGTCCACTGTTTCTGTATGTAATCTAGTTCTCTTGTTTTTCATCTGGTTATCCCATTTTGATTTTTGTAAGTCTGAATTTGATATGTTAGAGCACTGTTTCCCATGAACTTTATTTCCTGGTCATAATGTGCACATGCAAGATTTGGCATGTAGAGATGTCTGGGGCTTGCTTGCATTTCTGGAGGCAAATCACAGATTTTCCCTACTCAGCAGCAGAGTCAAAAACCACACTTGCTCATGACTCTTCTTCCCCCATTGTTGAGTTCATATACCAATCCGTATACCCTTGAATTGGCATGAAATTGTAGTCCCCTGTTGTAGATTCTCTACTCTTATGCCATTCAGTGACTAAAATAAATATTTGAACTGATTTGATGCCTATAATGTCTCAGTTGCCTCTATTCCTAGTCACTAGAATTAATTAACTTTCCTTCAAAGGAGGGAATGGCATCATGGGGACACTTTTAAAAAAAGATATTGAGAGAATATGTTTGTACTCTATTTAGTTATCACCCCACCATCCACTAGGCTCTGCTAGGTGGAGGTGCAGGATGGCCATTAGTTTCAGGAGGTTCCATCTGTAAAAATGGGTAGATGTGTGCTAGATGTGTTAATTCCTTGACATTATGCTATTGGACCATCGTAAATGGTTATTTTCTCCAGTAAGTGGGAACATTTGTCATTATCTGATTATGATACTGATAAGCTCAGTTTGAATTGTGGGCTCCAAATAATATCTTCCTCCAAATAATGTCAAAACATGGACAGTGTACAGGGAGGTATATATTTTTGACTATGGTTCCCAATTGAAATTTACAGAGGAATCTAGAAATCTGGAAAAAAATATCATCAACATCAATGAAAAATGGCTGCCACTTACATCAGAAGTGGGCAAATCTTGATAAGCAGGGAAGAATTGATGATGTAAAATGGCAGGGACGTTTTCTTGGGGAGGAACACTGAAGTCATGGAAGACAAAAAAATCCACTTAATTTTTTTTTTACATGGATCATATATATAATATGTAAAGGAGGCGGAGCTTTAAATTCACAGGTACCATCTTGATTTTTTTGAAACACTACCCCCACCCTCAATTTCACCCCATGGATACCCTATGGAAAGAATTACATTTAACATAATCTAAAAGCCAGTTTTAATGAGAGATGCGGGCTGGAAATTTTTTCAAAATTTTCCACCTCAGGCAAGTTTAGCAGTTTCCAAATGGGAGGATGTCTTATTGTTGCCTGTTGCCTATATTGTTTCCAATATGCCAGGAAAAACATTTCCTCCTCATAACAAATATTTAAATCTCTTTGAATATACCAATGAAACCTCATAAAGTAGGCTAGACCTATTTTTCATATCAGTTAACCTAGCCTAAATATATGTGCAGACTATGAATACCACAATGATAGCAGAATCACATTCATTTGTATAGGAAACTTTCTGGAAACCTGGATCTTTGATTTTAAGGCTCCTACCTTAAACAGTATTTTCCAAGTTTCTCAAAATATTGAGAAATTGTGTGACTTGTTTTCAGTAACAATGGCCAGGTGAAAGTCTAGAGGCCAAAAACAAAGGACTAGAGTAGCCATCCCATAATGAGCTCGAGAAAAGTCTATCAAAAGGCAATTATACAAGAGAAACAGCTTGTTACTTTGACCCCTTATCAAAAGGAACACTGGCTCCCTTAAAGCTTGTCATATGTGAGAAGTGATAAGAAGATTCACCAAACTCTAGGTATATAAATACTCAAGTATCTTAAGACAGAAGTGACCTTACCTGTAGCGCTAATAGATGGATGGGAGTGATGGGAGAATTTTGGTAGGCTATATTGCTTGTCCTGAAAATTTCTAGACTAGGAGAAAATGCAACTTCCAAATTTGGCTAACTTTTCAACATAAAGAATGGAATGGAGATGAGGTATCTTATTCATCTCCAACAGTAAAAGATCTGGAAATGGCACTGTTATTGCTTTTTCATCAGTCTTATTATTCATTTGGAGAAAGTAGGTCAGTAGGTAGAAAGTTTAAAAGCAAAACAAAAAAAATGTGATGCACGAATTAATGTTAGACTCTGAACTAAATCTCTGTTGGCATCTGCCCAATTATGATAAGCCCGGATACCAACCGTGGAGAGCAGTGATCAACTGTCATACATGGAGAGAGCAAGACATTTAATAGAGATTTACTTTTTAAATATCCCCACCAGAGATGGAAAGATGAGCTTGTGAGATTCTCTTCTCCATGTGATCAAATAATTTGGCTGACTTTTGATATTCATGCCCTTTGGCTTAGATGTATGGGGGAAAGAACTCTTTTTAAGCAACAATAAGTCTCGGGCATTTGTTACCTGCAACAGAAAGGCAATGATACCTCTTCTAAGACAAGACACAAAGTAAAGTAATTCAATTAACTTTTGGTTCCCAACAAAAAATATCAGAAGCTGTCTCTGTATCCTTTCAGGAAAATAAAAAATTAGCAAAAATTACATTAGTAATGTTTTGCTTCCCTAATGAATTAAATCATTCTGCCTCAGAAGAGAGATGATCCTGGGATGAGAAGGAATGGATTTCATTTTCTCAGACAAATCATGCCATCCAATCTTAGAGTCAGATTTGAGTTGTTAGAGAAAGAAGGTAGAGCTGCAGGAACGCCAACAGATTCTCAATAGACTCTGTTCAGTCCCAGGCTAAATCAAATTTGTACTCTTATAATATTTCAGACATTCACTTTGGTCCAACAATTCTGGATTTCAAGCAAGCCAACAAGAATGGCTGCATTTATATGAAGTTCCACAGAGTATTTTTGTTACAAAATTACCAAATTCGTGTCTGTTCTGCTAGAGACCAATGCTTCCAAAGGTGTTATTTGCACTCATGAATTAAGTTTGCAGGAATTAACATGAAGATCCTTTATCTTATCACCAACTCTAGTTTAATCTAAGCTTCACACTTTGCAAGCCAAATAAGGAAAAGGCATAACAAATTCATGTGTACAAAAAAAAAGGAAAATATTTATAGTTTTACATTCTGTTTATAAAGAGAAAACAATACAATATACCAAAAGTTTTGTTTCAATAAATAAAACATTTGTCATTCTGCTTGGCAAAGCATGCTGAAGGGTACTTAAAATTAAACTTATTCAGGTAAAGTTATTCAAATGGGGAAGACTTCATACAGTTGTTGAAACAAATATGATTTTTTTTTTTCAAAACTTAAATCAGGCGACTATGGGGATTACATTCCACAAACTTTTTGTCAACTGTAAAAACAATTCTGGGTTTCTTAAACATAATCTTTAAGAAATTGGCATTGTGGTGTTTGATCATTTTCAAAACCTACTTATTGATGTTTGCTAGTTGGGAGCTACTTATAGTCATTCACTACCTACAAGTATAATTTATTTTGTAGGTGAGAAAATATTGAACACATTTTGATGGGCTATACCAGGGGTAGGCAACCTTGGCTCTTTTATGTGGACTTCAACTCCCAGAATTCCTGAGCCAGCATGGCTCAGCTTGGAAACCTCTTATTCCCTCAGCATGGCTGGCTCAGGAATTTTGGGAGTTGAAGTCCATGAATCATAAAAGAGCCAAGGTTGCTATACTGTACTTGCCAATTTAATCTCATGAGGAGGGAGACAGAGAAGAAATCTCTAGAGCAACCAGCATTTTACTCCCCAAATCATAATGTTGTACCACTGTTCGAAAGGGTATAGAACTGTACCATAAACTGTTGGACTTCAAAACCCATCCTCTTTGATCATCAGACATGCTGATAGGAGATGGAGTCCAGGAGACACCGAAAAACTCAAGACTCCTTGCCCCTTGCATAGACTTTCATTTTTTAATTTCTACCCGATTCAGCAGTCCATTTTTCTAATACCTTTCTGAAATAGAATTCTGTTCAGCTAAACTAAGATTGCCATAAAAATAGAATAAATGCTTCAATGCCTTTATCTAGCTGCATGCTGGACACAGGTACAAAAATGAAATCTTTTCACCCCTTCCTGAAGCTCTACAGCAGGGGAAAAAAAACTTACACCAATTTCATTGATATCAGTCATTGAAACTGTTTAAGGCACAGAAATCTTGCCAGAAGCAACAACTCATGGCAACAAACATATTCCTAATACAACTATACAGTATGCTGTGTAAGGCCATGTTACTCATGAGCTTATCTTTGGAACCATAACACAAGCACTGTTTTCATAAATTTCCACTGAAGAGGTTCTCCTCAGGGGCTCCTGACTTGCAATCAAGGGGGTCTGGGGCCCTTTCCCAATCTCTGCTTCACATGTTCTGTCACCATTGTTAGACATGGTTCTGGATCAGAGAAGGGAATATATATGGGCAATCATCTCCAGCTAGAGGGCTTCTTGTCAAGGGAAAAGGACTGGAAATTCCTTCAAAGAAGCCATTTCCTCTACCCTTGCCCCCCTTCCCTCTACCAGGAATGCCGGTCAGAGATTTACAGAAAAAGGCACATGAGATGTTCTGACATTCCAATTTCTGTCTTTGTCATATCACTGGAGGCCTTCCCATGGCATCTTGGTGTTGTGGCTGTTGGTACCAAGGTCCAAAGCTGTTGATGTAGGTGTTAGAAGGCAGAGGAGGTCCTTTGCATGCCATGGGGATGTCCCAAAGTGGAGGTATGTTGGGAGAACATGGGGACAAAGATGAAGAGCTATGTAAATTATCTTCTTGGATGCTGGAGCCCTGCTTCATAATCTTTTTGAATTTGGAACGTTTATTCTGGAACCAAATCTTGACCTGGTTTAAGAGAAAATGGGTGCAAGCAGAGAACGCATGAACAGCTACAGTAAAACTGGGAGGAGTTTAATCTAGAACTTTTTGCATCTACATTTTTCTACTTTTAACGGCTTTTATTTTCTCCCTACCTAATGTTTCTACTCATAGCTATTTTAGATTGAAGAATTCTAAATGATTTTTTTCTCATTGGTTTTGCAAGATGACCTTTGTTGCAAGATCCTTAAAATTTTTGAATACTGTGGTACTTTAAAATAACAAATGATATTGTTATTGAATAAGTTGGAAATGCTGAAAGAAAGAAAATGTCATGCTCTTTAGATTCAAGATATACTTTTTAAAAAGTTTCTGAAGGATGATTTTAATTCCGTTAGTTCTGTATCTAAGAAAAGTTAGCAATCACCATACATTCATCTTTTCAAGATTTTGTTCACCTACATTTCAGGTAAGCCATGAATCTAGCCCTAGGTAGACATCTATGTAAAAATGGTGCCCATTGCTAAATCTGACATGAATCTGTTAAGTATATCTCTTGCCAAAATGCAAAGTAGAAAGGAAATCAGCTCACAGATTGGAACAGTATTGCATACTGTATAGTACAGGCCTTTGGATGTACAGTTCCAGCCTTTCCCCAAAGTTATGGCTTTCATATATAATGGTATAAAATATTGGAGTCACATAGTGCCCATATTGAAAAAGGCAATAAGTTGCTTAAATCCACATTGTCTGAAGACCCATTTCTTTAGCCGCAAACCTGCTTGAGCATTACAAACTGTGGACATGCCCCTTTTGACAATGTCTACCCTGGAGATGTACCCATGTGGCACAAAGTACAAGGCCTTCTCCTGTGTCATTCCCAAAGTAAGTAGCACAATCCCATAGGAGTTGCATTGGTCACTCACTCCCCTTTCCTTTGGAAATGTGCCCAAAATATGTATTTTTTCCTGACTTGTAATTGATAATTAAGGTTTGCATTAGTTTTCATTTCTGCCTCTGAATTATTTTTGTACTCTGCATTTTACTGTTTGCTACCATCCTTGGATGCTCAGACTGAAAGATGACATGTTTGTACATACGTGGACACACACACACACATACAAATATAAATCCCCCTCACGGCAAAAGGTTGATCGTTGGGTAGCGTTAGAGTAGTATTCTTGTCTCTTCCCTTCTGCTTTAATTCCCTCCTCTGTAAAATGGAAAACGGGAAGGCCCCATTTCCCGGGACTTTTGCAAAGATCACCGAGCAGCAGGATTGTAAACGTTTCTCAGGCAACCTGGTTTCACACGTCTTTTTCAGGCTCCCTGTTGCAGATTAATCCTAGCCGGTTCCTTCAAGCAGGGCTCCTCCCCCTTCCCGTCTTCCCCCACCCCTAAAGCCGATTGCACAAAGGCATTTGTGGAAACATCGAAGGAGGGCAAAGTGTAAAGTTTGGTCTTCAGGGCATGCTAAGGAAAAGGAAAACTACAGGCATCTGAAGCAAGAGACCCCACCCACTCTCCCCCCGCGGCCCTTGTCGGTACAGAGAAGCTACTTTTTCTGATTAGTTGCAGATTTGGCTTGAGTGCCATGCCTTGCATCAGATAAGAACTTAAAATGCAAAAAAGAAAATATAGAAGGTGAGTTTAGAATCAAGATAGCAAGCTTGCAGCTTTCTGAAAAAAGAAAAACATCTTTTAGGCTGGACCTTCTGGAAATTAAGCATTTTGGAGAAGGAGTGAGTTTTTAGGAAAAGGAATGTGATGTCAGTCTTTATCATTTTTAGACACTATGTGTCTATTGCTTTCTTCCTTCAGCTTTACCCTGCATTTCCATCTCTGGAACTTTATCTTTGGCATCTATTTCTTTTTTTAATGTCTCTATTCCCTGTATGATCCTGCTTGCTTCACCTACGAACCAGCAAAAAGGAAAAGCTGTCTTCAAAACAAAGCTACTGCTGAAAGGTGGAGGTGGAGGTGAGAAGCTAGAATTACAAGGAAGGGAATATTCTTAAAATGTGTTAAATTGTGATCTGATACATTAGCTTTAACCCTTTCAAGTGATTTTTTTTTTTTAAGTCTAGTGATAAAGCTCTGCTTGTTATTCAGCCAGAGACAGTGATAAATACACTTACTTTGAAAACAGAAGGTCTAGGATCAAGTCTCAGCATTTCTAGCTAAATTTACCTGAGCAATTCCAAGTGATGTGAAAGACTGGTATTAAAAGGACATGAGCTTCTCCCACTATCACAGCAAATCAATAAGTGCTGTGTGACCTAAACCAAGGTCCAGCCTATTATTAGCATAAGAATCCTTGGTATGTTTCAGCTACAATGCTGTTTTCAGACTTGGCCATATTAACATGTGTGAACTTCAATTCCCAGAATTCCCCAACTGGAATTCTGATTGGAGAATTCTGGGAGTTGAAGTCCATGCGATTTACAGTGGCTAAGTTTGAAAAAAACATTGATCTATACTAATAGTTTTGCAGAATATTTAGATATGCTTTTAGTTAGAACCAATGGGGCTAAAGCATAATGTTGCAGATCCTAGTGCAGCCAGTCAAAATTCTGATAATTCAATCCTCCTCATAGTTTTCTGCCTCCCCCCCCAGCAAAGATCAAACTGGGCTGTGGCTTCTGAGCATGCTCAAACAACATTCATTGGCCTCTTTTAGATTCCCTCCATATTTATTTATTAAATTTATCTGCCACCTATCTTGCTGTTAGGCCACTCTAAGTAGCTTACAATAATAAATAGACCTGTAAACAAAAGTAAAATAATAGAATAAAATAAACAATGAGCAAAAACACAATGAGAATACATCAATATATATGTGAGCAAATCCTGTTTGAACTATCCAAGCAACAACCCTGCAAACTTCAGCAATGGAAGAAAGTCTAACATCATCAAAAATATGTTTGCTGTGATATAGATTTCCTTCATTCATACTCCAAAAAAGGTAGTCTAAACAAGGATTTGCTGCTTGCAGTGTGAACTCATCCCATTTTCATCCCCAGAAAACAGGTTTTGAAAGCTTTTGTACTGCATCAGAAACCAGCAAAGCCTGTGTGCCCAGAAGGAAATTTTCCGGACAAAGAAGATATGCATTGAGCCCAGAGAAGAGAAACCTCCCTGAAACCACCTCCAGCTCCTAATTTAAAAAAAGTTTATCCAGGACTTTTATTGAACAAGCCACTTTTACTGAGCTGACAAGCCACAATTTCTTATATATACTTATATATATACTTAACCTGCATCTTAACCAAAAGGCTGGGGAACCTTTTAATAGTAGGCAAATGTACTATATGGGTCAGAAAACACATTTTTATAATTGGTCAGTGTTTCTCAAATCTCAGCAACTTTAATATGTGTGGACTTCAATTCCCAGAATTCTCCAGCCACCTTCAGAGAAACAATTGAGAAAACTGCATCCAAGAGCTGGATCCCCATAAACACTATTCAAATTGATAGTTTGATTTCAGTGAAGATTCGGAGAATAGTAGAAGGTTGTTAGCAGTGGTGCACCTAGAAATGATACTTAATTTACTAGAAACATTACTTTAAGCCTTTCATGCAGAGAAATATCCTTAAAATAATTAGTAAAGTTTAAAAAGCAATTTTATATATAATTATACATAATTAAACAATTAAACTGGAATTAATCACAGAATATTAAGACGTGTGGACTTTAACTCCCAGCATGTTATTTGGGGAATTCTGGGAGTTGAAGTCAACATACCTTAAAAGCTGTCACGTGTGAAAAATACTTAACTAAATAGAAACTAGATTAAAAATAAGCACTACTCATAATGTGTCAATGAGATATGGCAATGCTTGCTTATTTAGAGAAAAGGGTTCTAGAAATAGAGAAGTACCTCTTGTTTGCGGCCCAAAAAGCAGCCTATACCCCCAAGGGAAATTTCATGCAAGTGCAAGTTTTAGACTGCTGATATATAGCAGGCTACACACACATCATTTTGTTATCCCTAAACTATAGTGAAGTGAGGTTTGCTATCCCCTCTATTGATCCCCATCCTAGTTTTGTTTCAAGTTCAATTTAGTAACAAAGTCTTAACAGATTTTACATTACCTGAGGCTGATCTTGAACAATGCTGAGGTTTGTGTGTGGGGATATTTCTTTAATGTGGGTATAACTGTAGTTTAAGCCTCACTTACATATGCACTGGCAATGAGATGAAGGCATGAGAATATGAAAAAAAATGATTATGACATCATGTTTGTGTTCCATTTAGGAACAAATGAGGAATGATCTTAGCTATTAATCTAGAAATGATCTTAACTATTTATGATGGATAAAAATGTAAACTTTTGCACATCATATACAGCAGAAGAATCTATTTCTGTAGGTGCACAACATTGCTTCACATGAAAGTGTCTGCCTGGCCTTGTGTATTACCATTTCTATAAACTAGTTCTTTGTTGTGAAATATCTATCACACACCCATCCAGAAGCTAAGACGATTTCTTCAAGAACAGTCATAATCTGAGGAGTCTCTTGGGAAAAGATGATTGGCTGGCAATATTCTGTTTGGTTTCTGCATTCCAAGGGACAAATAAGTAGAAGAAGACCAAGCATCCACTTTTTGATATATCAATAGTAGATTTGTAAATGCTCTATCTGGAAAAAGAACATTTATTTATAACAATTCATAGCTTTAGAATTCTGCCATCCTGCCTTCCAAAAGCACATAGATTCCACCATTTTACTTGAATTTCTTCTTTGTCCAAATACATTTTTAAATGCCTGTGGCTAAGATCTCATCTGTGCCATTCATCTGTCTCAAATTATCTCTTTAAGTGGCTTAGCCATCTGTAAAAGAGGCAGTTCTGTGTCAGGGATTTTTGACAGCACTAAGTCTTGGAAGACTTCCAGGTCTTTCCAAACCATATCTTCAGTGACAACCTCCCCTATTCTCACAACTCATCTGTCCATCCTTACTTATGTCGTATTTTATTAAGACAGAATGCAGTGTCCTCTGGGAAGTGATTCTAACACGCCAAATGCTGCAGTTATTATCAACTTACTACATTGTACCCATAGAATCTGCTATGAAATGTTGATGTCTATATGAAATTCATTTCTATCTGTCTTTGGTACCTAACATCTCCTGTAATGACCATATTCCTTTCTTTTATCGATCAGTCCATTTTCTATAACCACCATGCTCAGTTTCAGTTCTCATCCAGCTGATTGGAGATTTCCTTCCCCCCCACATTTAAACTTATTTACCTAAGGTGATGTGTGTGTTTTTTCAGGGGGTGTACATCTGAGTTTCCCAAAATTTGCTGATTGCAAATCCACTACCTAAGCAATGCTACCAGCCAAAATGGTAAAATAAACTATTGCAGTGTTTAAATTTGATGCAAACAGACTGTTCCATGTGTTATTTATTGTGCTACTTATTTCGTTACTTATTTTGTTTTTATACTGTTCCAAGAAAGCAATTTCTTTCCCCAAAGATCATAGTTTAAAAGCCATGGTGCAACAATTAAGTCATCAGGGAAGGGGCCAAAGATTTAAAATCAAAGAACTCTGAAGAAAATATAAAATAACCTGGGAAAGCCAGAATTTCTGAAATTTATCTACAAGAGTCCTTCTGTAACATCAGGTTAATTAATAATGTTAATTATTACTGAACTACAGCTCAGTAAGAAGTGTATGGGGGGCTCTAGAATACTTCTCAACATAATATTAGCATTCGTACTTGGCTTTGAAGTGGGGAAAGCAAGGTTGCAACAGCAGCTATAATAATATTTTGGTCTGAATGTGAAAAACATTAGCTATCATCCCTTTTCAGGTCAATTACCCATGAAAGTTAGCATGCAAGCAGATGGAGAAAAGTACAATTCTCAGAAGGCCTAGTAGGAGGGCTAACAGGGACATGGGCTATTGGGAGCTAACACGATCAATCAGGTTCTCCATCCTTGATTTATAGTCTTTTTTGCCCACCTACTCCAATGGTTGTTTCATTTTTAAAGTCTAGAACAGAAATCCAGACTGCACCCTTCAAAAGCCAATAAAGGATAAAACAAATTTTAATCTCTTTCCTATCCATTGATTTTTCAATATCAAATATTCCTCCCAGTGGTTGTCATTCTAGATCGGTGTTTCTCAACCTCGAGAACTTTAAAATATGTGAACCTTAACTCCCAGAATTCTGCAGCCAGCATAAAATTTGCCAGCATGACTGACTGGGGAATTCTAGGACTTGAAGTCCACACATCTTAAAGTTGCCAAGGTTGAAAAACCCTTGGCAACTTTGTTTCATCTACTAGATGGAAAGAGCTAGATTTAAGCAAGTCACCATCTTCATTCTAACTAATTTGACAGGCATGTTGTGAAGATTATCCTCATAATATATGCTCTCAGAAGACAGGGACTGATGGGTAACAAGTGGAGAGTATAAATTAATAGAGCATCTCACCTGTGTTTGGGTCAAGCCCAGCTGTGCTGCTAATTCTGCCCGTTCAGGTAATGCCAAATATTGGGTTTGTTGGAAGCGTTGGTTGAGGGCCTGGAGCTGAAGGCTAGAATAAATGGTACGTGGTTTCCGGATTTTCTTCCCTTTTCCATTGATGCGGATTTCTCCATTCTCTATGATGGTTGATTTCTCCAGTTCTTTTGAAAGAAACAAAATTAAAGAGAAAAGTAAGATTCAATGTGTAGCTGAAACTAACATCAATGGCTGCTGAGCTGTTTGGTTTTAAGCGGACTTGAGATCATACATGTGTCAATATTTATTTGCATTTTTTTCTAATAGGTGATTCAGCATGGGGCTACTGACAGAACTGCTGGACAAAAACACCTCCAGTTTCACCTCCACTCCACTATGAAGCATCCTTGGACCTTTTTAAAAATCCCTCAGTTTAATCCTCCTCATAAGATGTTGTTGTGAGGATAAAGTTGGAGAGGAAAGCGCCATGTACACTGCTTTGCCTCCCAGAAGCAAGATTATAAAGATAATAGCGAATTCCTTGGATTTCTGACTTTGCAACTTCTTTGCCACTTTTCAGTAATAACAAAGCAATAAATTTCAGTGAAACATGATGCAATTGCCTATGTCAGATTTCTCAGATAATAACCACAAATGTTGTTTGGCAACTTATTATTACAATATAATTTGGTATTCAGAATGCAATCTGCATATGCCCATTTATTAATTTGTACACATAAAACAAATTCTAATTCTAAATTGAAAGGTACCAAGAATATCATATCTGACCAGAATACTCACCACTCATAATGGATATGATAAATGGTGGATAAGTTGTATGGAAATGTACTCTGTGAATGCTCAGAGGTCCTTGTTCCTAATTTACCAGTCTGAAAATTAAATCTATGTAAAGGCAAATTTTAAGGCCCCGTGGTATATATACCTCTAGAGTAATGAATTCCAGAAACTTGACAGTTCTCAGCAACTGATAGTTCCAGTGAAAAAACTAAACTGAGAAACAATTTAGATATGGATGTACTTACAACTGAACTGCTTCCTTTATCAAGAATGGATATTATTTATCTTTATGGACTCCTTTAATAAATCACTGTTTGGTCGTGCCACAATTAAATAATGGGAATTATAGATCCCAACAAGAACAGGAACCCAAGATACACAGTCATCCAGAAAACAAGTTTGCTACCTAATTCTGAATGATGATAATTCTTTTTACCATTAAAGAACTCTGAAAAAAAATATCGAATCATATGAAGATCTGGAAAGATAAGCTTAGTCCAAGGATATAACATTGTCTTGCTACATATTTAAGCTCTGACCGGTAGCCTTTTGCATCAGTTGGAGTTTACAAGTCTTCTTTAAGGGCAGCTGCATCTAGACTGTAATACAATAATTTAGACCTGGGCATAGATCACTCTGACTCCCAGGCATTTCTACCCATTTAGGGTTGTGTGTGGGGGAGAACACAGGAGATCAGTGACAAATGTGGGTCCAGAATCCCCTAAAGCTGCATGTACTGTCTTGAGGAAAATATAATTCTTCCCAGAATGACCTATTGCCATGCCATTCAAGGATGTTTCTTGAATCACTATCTAAACAATTAGAAAGGAATTTTTAATCACTGGATTTCTATTTAAATCAAGGTAAGGGTGTACCCTGAATAAATGGCTAACATGGGAATTTGGGGAGAAAATTTGAGCTCCAGTAGATTTCCACCACAAATAATGAGTATAATCAAAGATTATTCAACAGAATAAATAAACAAATGCCTCGGAAATACTTGTGATCAGAGGAAAGAAATTTGGCAATTAAGACGTTGTATATTCTTAGTTTACTGACATTCTGATCCAACAAGCACATTTTTCAGAAAAGTGTTTGGCAGCCTGAAAACATTTTAGTTCAGGAGTCCCCAACCCCTGGTCTGTGGACCAGTACCAGTCCGTCACATGCCAGAAAAAGGCCACACAAACAAGCACAGCCCCATCCGCAGGATGCAGGCAGCATGCAAAACTCTGGGCCCTTCGGTCAGTAGAAAAACCTCCCTCCATGGAACCAGTCCTGGTGCCCAAAAGATCAGGGGCCATTGCTTTAGTTGACTGCCCTATGCAAACATACGATGAAAAAGCATAGCCATTAAGAATGTAGGGAAGCAGGAATGCCATCATCCTGAACTGGCTTTGTGATATTCTAATCTGATCTGATTGGCTAATTAACAATATTCTTTCATTATGGCATCATCAAATTGGCCAAGTCATTTTTCATTGATTGAGATAACATAAGCAAGAAGGAGTTGTAGTTTGAATAACAAGAACATGTTACTGTAGTAGCTGTCAACCAGGCTGTAAACAATATGGATGAACTCACATAGAAAATGTTTATTAAGGTCATTTGATGTAGCACAATTAAATTCAATCTATTACAAAAAGCTTATCTTGTCTTAAAAAAACCTAAACCTATGGTGGGGGGGAAATCAACCTGACATCACTTTATATTTCAACTTCAAAGATTCAAATTTTCTGAATTAAAAAGGAAGGAGCTGCTGAGAGAGGGGCATGGAATGAAAGATACAAAGTCAAAATTTAAAGTTAAAAGGTGTGTTTGATCAATGTCATTTTCTCTGTGCATTTTGATTTACTGCTATAATTTGCTAAAAACAACAACAATGTGCAAAGAATCTAGCCTGTGTACTCAGTTCTTTCCATCCTATTACATTTGATGAGCATTCCAAGCTTACTGCATTATGGCAAGAATTCCTCATTATCCTCTGTGTTTTTAAAAACCTGCTCTTTCCCCAGGAGAAAACAATTGAGCAGAAGAAAGCAAGCCCACAAAATGCAAACAGTTTCAGAGAACAGTTGTGGCCCAATCAGAGACCTTGTTTTCCCTCATCTCGGGTTTGAAACTGTGTCAGGGGAAGAAGAAGAGATCCCTCTACAGGGCTGCCTTTAATTCTCACCAGTGCAGATTTTAATTAAGAAACTCCGCTCATGTGCAAAGAGCAAAACTCTTCAGCTTAAGGAAGAATACTCCCTAGATGCCTCAGTAAACCACATCCATGTGCTACTGGAGAAGCCACAACAGAGGAGAGGACGCAAAGTTTTGACAAGCTGAAAAAATATATAGACACAGTAGAAGGGAATCCCAAGGTACTATTTCCTTACAGATAATAACACTTTAAATTCTTTTTTTGAAAATTTACTTCTCTGTTTCTAAAGGCTCTTTGCATTGCCTTGGTTTACAAAAAAGAAGGCATGATCCTTAAAATGTAAGGTTTTTTCTTTTCTTTTTTTTTTTTTGCTATCTTTCAGTTTAATATGGACTTTCAAAGTGGCTTAAAACAACAAAGAAAATGCAAGTGAAAGAAATCAAAACAAGGAATTTAATCCATGCATAATCATTACTTCAACCTTGACCACCATGTATCCTTAACAAACCATTTACTCCAGACCAAATGTAGACTTCAATTGCAAAACATAGCTCATCACTGGGATTGGTGCTGCCCCATTGCTGAAATAAAAAGTGCATCACAGCCCTACAAATCATTTTCAGTCCTGGTAAATTCTTCTATTGCTGGAGAAATCAAGCAGGCCTGGATAAGTGGTTATGTGCATAGACACAAAGCCTCACCTGGAATGTAATTCATCCTGTAACATGGCTGTCCCCATTCTGGGGGCAGCAGTGGATTTGGATTACCATGATCCCCTAAGGACCATCACCAGGGGAAGTCTGGGAATTGAAGTCCACATATCTTAAAGTTGCAAGATTGAGAAACTCTGCCCCAAAGAAATCTAATGAATGTAGAGCACTCCAGATTGGAAAAGGCTGGGTCTATGAGCACAGAGACCCAGGCAAGTGTATTCCCTGCGATAGAGACCAACTGAATAATTTTGGGCCACCCTATCTCACAGAGATATGATTGTGGAGAATGGAAGGTGACATTTAAAGATACCTCTTCTTAAGCTTCTGTCCTGAAAGAAAGGTGCAAGGCAGAACTAAAAAAAAAAAAAAATCACTCAGACTGTCAGAGAATTTGCTGTACTACAGCACTTAAGGAAGAAAATAAACTACATTTATAATTACCCTTCTAATTTAATATTAGCATGTGCTTTCTTTTAAAATTGCATCCCATACATTAAAGCAGTGGATTGTTTTTTCCCCCCTCTCTTTCTCAGCAACTTTTTATTTGATTGAAAATCTTGATGATGTTTCAATTTTTCAGAGCATTTTGCAAATCCGGGCATCCTTCCTTAAAAGTAAAAGTTTTCAATGCATCTTACATCCAGATGAGCATAAATCTAAGTCTGCAAAATACATAGGACAAATAATATGCAATGTTTTTTTAAATAACCATGCATAAGATGAAAATCAGCAAAGAATACAATTCTTGATAAAACAATGGTTACAAACCCACAGGAGAGCTACACATTTACTGTATTTTAACACCATGAAAATAAAACTAATTTTGTTTACTAAGCTGCAGTTAACTGAACTATAGTTTATGGAACTGACTTTTTTGGCATTGTCCAACTCACTGAACTGTGAATGAACCAAAACACTGGCTGGATTCTTGTAGCATCATTTACCGAATTAACACTCTTGCCTAACACTTGAACTACAGGACAGCCATTGGCACAAATATGATGGTGTATTAGAGTTCAAGGGAGAAGTGAATGCTGTCATCCCATCTATATGACTATCTTTCCTTACTGGGTTGTTGGAGAGCCCATGGCCCAGATATTGCTGAATTATATTTCATAGAAGCATATCTAGTATGATCAACAGTAAGAATGTTGGAAATTACAATTCAGCAATTATACCTAAGCTCTTCATCCCTAGGGTAATTGGATAAAACTATCACTAACATAAAATTATAAGATTTATTATGCTAAGTATTATAAACACGATTCTTATCTCACTCAATAGAAAGGTAGCAAATACAGCCAATAGTATTAATAATTCAGCTTATTCAAATTTAGCAAACAAATTGACTCAGACATCTTGCATTGGACCAGATTCATACAATCTATGCTTGCCAGCTAACATTCCTACAAAGCTAGAGTGTGCCTAATTTCCTAATCTTGTTTGGATTTTTTATCTTAATCACTTTAATTGGCTCATTTTCCAGTCTTCCCCAACCTGATGACCTCCAGATGCGGTACAAAAAACAGAACCTTTATCCTCAATCATGATCACCATGGTGATTTTCCTTGGAGCTTGACTTTATGACTTAATATACTAGAGTTTTCTGTAAACCAGAAGCACCCAAGGATGGACTTGGTGTTGCATGCACAACTCTTGGAAAAAGTTATGCCTGAAGCTGTGTTCTCAAAAATAATGGGAGGAACAATCAAAATTGACACTGAGATTACAATGAAAATAAGATTCTCATATATTTTCTAGTTTCATATTTATTTATTTATTTGATTCAATCACATAATAACGGAATGCCTTTGGAAGCTTATGGGGGCCTCATTGGCCCTGGGCCTTAGGTTGTAAACTTCTGCTTTTCATATAGGCCAAGCAGAAAGGCATCATCAAGTTTAAGGGGTGGACTGTTTGAAGATTTAGTAACATTGAAAGGACAACTTCTACACCT